TGGTGGGGTCCGGTGCGCTCGATTCCGGCAAGCGTGTTTCTCCACGTGGGGTCGGGTCTACTTACATATCTGGCCTCCTCGCCGGTGTTTGAATCGCCTACTGTGTGCTTATAGGAGCGGCAGCGAACAGTGGAATGAGCGGCTGTGCAGAGGGTCCCTTGTGCGTCGCAGGAACCCGCTCCTCCACCTTTCTAAGAATCCAGCCTGCTGATTTCGTGTCTCACAGTCTCCAAAGAGGCCTGGGAGGGAGAAATGCCTCCCGTCACCCCATTATCACCATCCACCTTGCCCCTATCCATCCCCACCCCACCCCCACTAGCCTGAAGCGAGAAAGGAACCTTGAGGCATCTGTGTGGTAGGAGCCCAGAGGTCCCTGCAGGGCCCACAGTCACTGTCCCCCTCTAAAACTGAGCAATTAGCACTAGCAAAAAATAGCTACATTCGGCAACTCTCCTCGAGGAATGAGGACTTGGACCCAAGCTCCCTAGCCTTTCGCCTCTGAGTTCCATGATGTTTCCCTTGGGCAGGTATCTGGCGCCTTGTGTCGGCTGGAGGGGGTGGTGCTGGTGAGAAGGTAGACTCTCGGAAGCCCTTCAGCCCCTCACCTCACTGCTTTCTTCATAGGTTTCTGGGAACCCTGAGCCACCACTTTGTTTCTGTGGGCACAACCTGGGTAGCAGAGACTCCCGGGGCCAGGAGGAACAGGTGGAGCCACTGATGTCCGCCCAGCTGCTGCAGTCACCCACAGCCTGCTCTCTACTGACCCTCTGTGTCTCTGGGGTAGAGCTAGAAGTTCTGGTGGCCCTAGGAAGCCTTCAGAGGCCGGAGGGAGGCAAGCAGGTCCTTGTCAATCAACACACTCCAGTTTTGCCCGCCTCTCCCTTTTCTGTATCCCATCTTTCCCCACTCCCGGCTGCAAATGCAAGTACTGCGCAATGTATAGAAGGTGACTCCCAGGGAGTCCGGCTCAGCCCTGCAAGCACTCAGCGATATATAGGACAGGGTGCAGGGAGTCCCTCTCAGCCTTCTCAGGCAAGTAGACTTCCTGAGCTCATTTGTGATTGCCTTCAGGAATTCTGATCCCCACAGACCTGAAGGCAAGGGACTTCCCAGCTCAGGATTTGCAGTTCATGGCAGAGCTGGCAGAGCCGCTCTGCAGATCGTGAGTGTTGGGTGGATGGATGGGGAACCTTGCTGAGCATTCAGACTGCATTCCACCCATGGTGACTTTCCCAAGGAGACTTGGCTTCACTTGCCAACAGATGATAGCCAGGCGGACCAGTTACTGCACGCTGGTGTCTGGTAATGATTTGGCAGGCAATAGCTCCTTTCAACCCCACTGGGAAGTCCACGAAGGGGAAAATAGGTCCGAGGGGCTCCAGTGCCCATAATGAAGGCCAGCCCCGGCCTTTCACTGTGTGCTTTGCCAAGGGCCTTCAGGGTGACTTGTCTGCCCTCTTTTGTGGTGCTCCAAGCTGGCAGAGGTGATGTCTGTTTGCTCATGGACTTTACTTCATGTGCTTGGACTAAGAGGCCCTCAAGAGTGCTTATTTCTGAGTGTGTTAATGAGTGAATGCCTAAGCAAAAGGAAGGCAAAGGATAGACTCCTCCTGAGAGGGAAGGACCCTCTCCCCACTATGAACACAGCACTCTGAAAATAAGCGTGAGGAACAGGGGTCCCAGTTCCCAGTGTATATGTACAGGGTGGAGCACCTGACTGGCATCATGTTTGTGAATGGCATCATGTTTGTGTATCCTCCACAGCTGAACCTTAGTGATCCACCATCTACAGTGTCACTTCCCTCACCCTCAGCAGACACAAGCACCCCCAGCCCCACCCCAGAGAAGGGTCCCAGGTCAGGGTTTTACCCCTACTTTCTATCTCTGCCTCCCACCTCTGAGAGACCAAATTCTTTTACATGTGGAAAGTCCTAGGAACTGGATGGAGCATCGCCCAGATCTTCGGGCTTCTTCTAGTCTCCCCAAAATTCCGGGTCTTTTTTGGGGGGAAGGATAGATGCCCCCACACACAGTTGGCACCCAGAGCAGTCAGTGACTGACAGATGCAAATGTTTCTCGGGGCTCCCGCAGGCCACTCTCCCTCCCTCTCTTGCTAGCCTGCCTCCCGGCCAGCTCCCTCCTTCCTTTATCTTATCAAAGCCCCGTAATTACAATTGCTATTTTGTTTCCTTGAATCTGCAATCAGAGCTCCCGCGCCTAGATGAGGGAGCGCCTGTCATCCTGATCTCTGAGTGACAGCCTGGCCACCTTTCCCGGCCGCCCCCACACTTCGCAAACACAAACACACACATACACACACTCCCTCCTGCAAACACAAACACACACTCTTTGCCAACACAAACGGCCCTCTCTGCAAACATGCGCTCGCCAGGCCCCTACCGCAGCCCTGGCCTGGCCACAGGCCCCTCAAATCCACACCCAGGCCACCACGCCTGCAGGTTGAAGTGACTCACACCTCCAGAGCTCCGCGTTCAAAGCGCTGCAGAATCTATTCCGACGGTTCAAATGCAAATCCCCGCGACAGCGTTAGCCACTTTGCACCAAGATCCAGAGCCACCTTTCTTCGTACCAACTCCCAATACCGTGTTGCCCCTTCAGCATTCTCCAGACACAATCCTATCCCACAATCCGCTAGCTGTCTGAGGCCAGAGAATTGGCAGCACTCCTGTTGTGTGCTGAGAGTGCAGAAAAGGGGTCTCCTGGAAAGGTGTGATCTAGAAGGGGGGAAAAACAATTCCCAAGTCTGTCTGCTCCGCGCCACAAGGGGCCGGGAGACTCCAGAACTAGAAGGCAAATGTGGATTGGGCTCCCACTGCGGGCAGAACTCTGCTCGTAGTTCACCCACCGGGAGACCCACTGGGAAAACAGGCGAGAAATACAATGGGCGATCAACGGAGTCACAGGGGGTAGACACTGATGGTGGGGGAGTACGCGCAAGGGGTAGCCGAGTGATGGCTAGTCTCTGCATTTATGCACGTACCCAGGGGTTGGAGGAAGAAGCCGAAAGGATAAGGGAATACCACCAACTAACTCCTCTCTCCTAGCTCGAGTATTTCGTGTAAACGAAAGCGTGCATGTATTCAAAACTTAGTGACTTATCCCGCCTTAACCTTAGCGGGCGTTAGCCCCTAGGGAGCGTTTCCACAAGCAGTTTTAAGCAAGCCCACCAGAGGGCGCTAGTTCTGCCTTCCGCTCCAGTTCGAGACTCCGCGAATGACTCCTGGCAGGGTCGGTGGTGGAAACACCTCGAGGTTAGTTAGGTACTGGGCTTGGAGACCCTGATCTCCGAAACACAGAAGGGCGTCTTTTGTCTTCCACTTGAGAAAGGGAGGTTGAAAACGTACACCTAACTCATCACATAGATAAGGAAAAACTTGTAAGGCTAAGAGGTACCACTTCTCTCTCCTCCTTACCCTACCCCTGGAGCCCAAGCTGGCCTCCCAACTCTCAGTTTTCATGTTTTAGCTTCCCAAGCTTTGCATGTGCTACCACGCCTGGGTTAGGTACTGCTTTCTATGCTATGGGGGACACCCTTGAAGTCGACCACCTGCCCCCAACCCAGCCTCTGTATTATTGACAGGCCCCCTACTTGCTGGTCAGCTGGTGTGAATTAACCTGATTCTCTCAGGCCCTGTTCTCTGTCCATCTTCAGCCTGTCTGGGGAGGTCACCTTTTTGTTTGTTTGTAGGGCATTGACCCCCCCCCCAACACAGCTGAACTGCTGACCCCAGAGCTGGGTGCACACAGTCCTCACACAAGCAACCCCCTTTCTCTTCGTGGCATAGCAGTAGCCAGTCCCCAGAAACACCGATTCTAGGGATGAGACAGTGTGGAGCTCTGGGAGGTAATGACCCCTCAGCAGAGGCGTCTGATTCCCGTGAGCTCCCTTCTGCCCCCATATGCCAGGCCACCCGGATTCTGGTTTCTCTGTCACCCAATCTGGCCAGTTCCCTCCATCTGGCCCTGGGAATCAGGTTTCTAAGGACCCTGCTCTACTCAACCTGCCTCAAAGACCAGAAGAGCCAGGACAGGTCCCAACCCCACCCCTCACAGGCTCTCTCCCTGGGCTGAGCCCCCTCATGGGGCTAGGGATGCACATTCCTCAGGTTTCTTCAGCCCACTTATCTGTCCCTCTCTGCCCATCAGCCTGAGTGCTGACAGAGGCCCAGACCCCTTGTTTGGAAGCTGATAACCTCCTGCGATGGCCCTCCCCCACCTGCAGAAACACCGAAGAGGCGGCAACGGGAGGTCCCTCTGCTGCAGGGCAGAAGGGACTTTTAGGCCCGAGTTAGGCCCTGGGGAACAGGAGGCCACATTTTCTCACCAGCCCTGGAACTAGGACCACTCTGTGCTGCCACAGTGCCACCTTGTGGTCCCTAGGGAAACCTCATGGTTGGAAAAAGCCACACAAGAATTGCAAAAAAACCACATACCACTTTATTTAGATCTTTACCTAAAAATGTAAAAAGTGTTAAAAACGTTGTTCTGAACTTTATTTTTTTTCTTTTTTTTCAGTGCTGAGAACTTAACCTGGGGGTTCACAAAACTTTCAATCTGGGCAGGTGGGGGGGGGTCAATGTTCAAAGGTCATCCCACCCCAATAGAAAAGGGAAGCTTCAGGCAACCTGTAGGAGTAAACACAGGGCCCTGTGGAGAACGCAGTTCTCTTAGCACCGGTCCAAGTTCCTCCCACCTGCCCCTTCCCAAACTCTCCTCTTCAACGAGAAAAACATTTACAATTCTTGAAACTTGTCCAGGAACATACGGTGCATGATGCCTGTAGCAAGCGGCTAACCTGAGAAAACAAAGTAAGAAGTCAGGGTCTGAGCCCTCACCTGCTCCCCTAACTTCCCAGTTCCCCTCCTACTCACCGGAGAGGGCTAGGGCCTGTCCCTGTGCTTTCTGGCAGGAAGGATGCCACACAGCTTGACTTCCCCCTCTTCACTCTCATCATCCTCACTTTCTTCAGAAAGATCATTGTTTATACAAACTGTGGAGACACACGGTCAGACGGGAGGTTAGAGCCAACCGTCCTTACACCACATGCCCGGTCCTCAATTCCCTGGAGTGCTAGGGGGACGGGAACCCCTTCTTCCAGTCTAGATGGGAAGGACAGACGTCAGACACTACCCCGAAGAAGGAAAAAGAGGGCCTGCCCACATCATTGGGGCTGCGGCACCTGGGACAGGTTACCAGAAGTTCATAGGCTTGGGCGGGGCAGTGAAAGGCACATAATACTGGAACCACAATCTGGGACTCAGGATGCACTGGTGGAGAGATGGGAGGGCCCAGTCTTCTCACCAATCCGATGCCGGCCAGTGATGCGCACAGGCCCAGAACCCGACTTCAGGCGGAAGGTTACAGGTGGTTGGAGCTGGAAATCATCCAGACTGAGCTGGAAGACAGGAATGAAGGCCTGATCCACTCTGGCCCAGCCACCTTGGGACTGATACTGAAGTTCTCAATTATGCCCCACCGTACTCCAATGAACGGATGGCCACAACTCACCATGGGCTGGCAAGATAACCTCAGGTTGGCCACAGGAACTGCAATCTCCTGGTTGTCATGATCCCGGGCCACAACTTCCACCACATTACACTCTTCCTTGGCCCCCTCGGTAAGGCACAGCTGAAAGCGCATACAGAACCTCAGTCTCAAATGAGGGCCCGCACCAAAGAGAAGGATGCTAACCCTGAGGCCTACCCAGACCCGGGGGTGCGCGGGGAGGGGCCCAGAGAAGTAGCCCGCTGAGGGTGGCCTCGAGCTCCCACCGGCCCAGGGGTGGGGGAGCGGGAGATGCGTGCATGGCCCCAGCGCCCTCTCTCCAGCCCCTCACCATGTTCAACGCCAGCATGTGTTCCGTGTCCTCCTCTTCCTCAACCTTGAAAGTGAAGGAGCGGGTGTGGCCGGAGAGCTCACAACCTGCAAGAGCCCGGCGTTCGTTCGCGTGAGGAGCACGCGCGGAGGGCCGCGCGCGAGGGCGCTA